TCTGGACTTTGAAGTCTGGAGTGGCCATTTGAAATATGTGACCTCTAGAATTCTGTATTTTTTTTTTTTTTTTGTCTCCTGGCAACAAAACATATTTATCCTTTGGCCACTACCTCCTCATCCAGAAAGGTCTGCTGCTGTTTTAAAGTTTAAAACAACACATGGGAAAGTTGTCTCAGAATGAGGATTTGGTGCAACCGAAGCCATCCTCCAAGGCTTTTCTGTTTATGTAGACAGGCAGTAACAATTGGGAATACAAATACAGCAATAAGAAGAACCCTTCTCTTGGCAGATTAGCAAGCAGAGCCTCTTTAGTTATAAAAATAGCACTCAAGGAGTTCTCTGGTTGAAATGTCATTTTCATTAAGCTTTTTTCACAGTGTAGCAAAGACTTGGGGTCAAGTTGGGGGTGTGGTGGAAGGAGACTGGAAGGCACAGTATTAGGGGTGTGCGTGCCAGTTAGGACTGCAGAAACTTCAGGGCCTTCCATCTGAAATTTGACACCAGGCAACTTCAGTCATCTCTGGGGGCTCCTCTCATAGAGAATCACAGAATAACCGGGCACTTGGCTGAGCTCCCAGGAGCTGTTCCGGAGCTACCGCACGCACAGCGGCCTCTTCTCCTGTCCCTCCCCTGCCCCCCCCCACCATTTAGGCAACCTGACAATACAAATGGAATCTCACGTCATGTCTTGGGTTATAATTTAAAGTCCTTCCCATCCATGGCATTGATGCAGAGGGTACCTTCAAGTTACTCAAACTCAGCATGGTTGCCGCATTGAGCTGGATAAATCTTTGTTGTGGGGGGTGACCCGGGCATTGTCACATCCTTGGCTTCCATCTACCCTACCCCCCATGTGGCAATAAAAAATGTTTCTTAGTCATTGCTAAATGCCCGCTGGGGGTGAAATCACTCCCAGTTGAGAACCATTGAGTTATAGCAAGAAAAACAAATATTTATTTTGCATTTCTGATTATGTCAGATACAGACTCAATGTTTTATGTAATCCTGACAGTATCTTTTGAAGTCTTACTTCCTTTTCAAAGGCTGGGAACCTGAGGGGTGGCAAGGATGGTGTGGTGGTGGTGGTTTTATTTTTTTATTTTTTGCTTTCTTTTTTGTTTTCCAGTACCCAACAATGAAAATGCATTATAACCAAAGAAATTCTCAGTGACTCCTGTTAATTTTTGCCTTAATTATCCCCAGGCCTGTTTTTTCATTCTCAATAGTCTATTTGTCATTGACACTTAAACTTCTTCCCTAATCTCTCTTCCTCAGTTTCTCTCTTCATCTTCTTCCCAGAGATTACAAGAAAATACCCTTCAGTCCCATTTTGAAAGCAAGAAAAAGAAATCTGAGTTAGTGTGTGAAAAGAATGGTATAAGAAAATACTTCTGCTTAGTATTAAAAAGTTTATCAGTTCTTAGAAAGGCTTTGAAATCCTTGTATGCCTCATTCAGAATTTCCATACCTTACCTTCCTCTTATTCAAACTCCACTTGCCTTTTGCTTGCCTAGCATCAATATTCATTAAATATTTTTCCATTGTGGTGGCATTTTAGTGGCATGATACACTAATGTGGGGCCAGATTTGGAAAGCAAGCCATTGTGTTTGCCACTGTCAGAAGATAAACTGTTTCAAACTGAAAACTGGTGTCCAAGTATAATTTCCAAAAAATTTTAGGTTGTTTCTCTCAAACAAATAGAGAATAAATATGAGCTGATGGTGTTTTTGAAATTCATTGGCGGAACCAGCAGGATGGTAAAGTCCATTTGAAGGATTATGGGAGAGACAGGGTACTTACAGCTTTTGAAAGAAAAAATACTGGGCTAAGATTGTTAAATTAGATACAAAATGATTAATACTGTGTAGGGCAAAGAAATAAAAATTTGAGGTCTTTATCTTTTATGCAGAAATCATTAGCAGTAGACAAATTCACTTCTGGACAAGTTCTTTTGCATTTCTTTCAGTTTCCTACATGTTAATATCTGCCCTCACAGAGACATAAAATATCCCAATCCATAGAAACTACTCAAGTTTCTAATTTTCCTAGAAAGATAATTCTTGGTTGCCTGTTAAATACTTAAAACTATTTTTTTTAAGGTTGGAAAAGTAATAAAAACCTGTTGTAGAAAGTTTTAAAAATACTAATTTTTTAGAGAAGAGAGAAAATAACCATGCTCAAAACCACTACCCAGATGCAGCCACTATAAATAGAATTCATATGTTCCCTTACAACTTTTTTTTTTTAAATTTCGGCTGTGCTGAGTCTTCATTGCTGTGGGTGAGTTCTCTAGGTGTGGCATTCCAGCTTAGTTGCCCCGACCAGGAATAGAACCTGAGTCCCCTGCATTGGAAGAAGGTTTCTTAACCACTGGACCAATGGAGAAGTCCCCCCCTTTCAACATTTTTCCTAAATATTTTTAACAGTGGAGTAATTAATGTGAAAAAAAAAATCAGACTATTTTTTATCTTTTCCTTACTAACAAAAATCATATCGTATCCTATCTATGATTTTAATGTTTCTATAATAATCTTGTTGTATCATGATTCTTTTCACTCCGTTTCCTAATTCATTTCTTTATTATGAACTTTTTCAGAATACAGAATAACGTAGACAGCAATATAATGACCAGTGGTGTAGATCCAACCTAGTTTAAGAGAGAAAATATCACTCATAGAGCTGCCCCTCTCCCCATCAACCCTCCAAATGTCCTCCTGTCCAAATGGAACCACTCTTCTGGGTTTGGTACTTATTTTCACATTTATCTTTATATTTGTAGCTTATCCATAAAGTATTAGGTTGGCCAAAAAGTTCACTTGGGTTTTTTGGTAACATCTTATAGAAAAACCCAAATGAGTTTTTTGGCCAACCCAATTAATGGTATTTTTTGCATATTTTCAAACCATGTACAAATCACATCACAGGTTTTTAAGGTATTAAGGTCCTGCAACTTGCTCTTTTGTCTCCACCTTGTGTTTGTGGAGAGTGATCCATGTACTTAGAATTCAGTCACTGTTAGTGCTGAATACCGTCTACAACTGTGTTTACCCACTTTCCTCTTGAGACACATTGAGGTTGGTTTCCACTTTTTACTATTACCTCTGTGCTTCTAGGGACATTCTGTACCTACATCTCCCAGTGTACTTGTGTGAGCATTCCTCTGGGTGCATATTGAGGAACTGAGTGCCCATTAGTGGGCCTGCACATCTACCTCCTATGACATTCTACTAAGTCTTTTACATGACTGTACCAATTTATACTCACACAAACAATGCATAGAAGTCTTGTGGCTCTGCATCAGGGATTGGCAAAACTCTGTGAAGAACTGAATAGGAAAGCTTTTTTAAAAATTAATTTATTTGGTTGTGCCAGTCTTAGTTGCAACATGCGAGTTCTTAGTGGCAGCATGTGGGATCTAGTTCCCTAACCAGGGATCAAACCCATATGCTCTGCATTGGGAGCATGGAGTCTTAGCCAGTGGACCACCAGGGAAGTCCCCCTAGTAGGAGAGCTTTAAGCCTTGATGAGCTACACGGTCTCCATCACAGCTACTCAGCTCTGCTGTTGTCACACAAAGTCAGCCATGGACAGTTCATAAGTGAATGAGCGTGACGATGTTCTAATAAACTTTACTTAAGGACGCTGGAATTTGAAGTTCGTATCATTTTCATGTCCCAAATACAATTCTTCTTTTGATTTTCTTGAACCATTTAAAAATATAAAACACAGTCTTAGCATGTGGGTTATGCAAAACAGACAGCTGGATAGATTTGGAACCTGGTCATAATTTGCCAATCACTGCTTGACATCCTGTCCAAGATCTGGAATTTTAAGATATGTTAAATGTTTCCACTCTACTGAGTATGAAATGATAAATTGTGAATTTAATTTGTACTCCTGATTAGTAGCGAAGTCAAGCATTTTATCGTGTTTATTAGCCATTAGGATTTTCTCTCAATGATTTATCTCTTCATGGGTTTTTTTTCCCCATACTTTTTAAGGTTGTGGGTATTTTATTTATTGACTTACAGGAGTTCTTTCTATTTTCTGGCTGGAAATCCTTTGTTGCATGCTTTGTAAATATTCACAGTGTATTGTGGTTACGATTTCACTTTTGAAAGAAATCTTTTGACGAAAAGTTTTCCAATTGAAACTGAATGTATCCAAGTGATACTTACTTGACTGTGGGAAAAAAAAAAAATTCTATTTTTCGTACACATTGAGAATGTGAAAGGTAACCAGAGGGAAGATACCAGGACTTCCCTGGCAGTCCAGTAGTTAAGATGTTGTTTTCCAATGCAGGGGATGAGGGTTTGACCCCTGGTCAGGGAACTAAGATCCCACATGCCTCATGGCCAAAAAACCAGAAGATAAACAACAGAAGCAGTGGTGTAACAAATTCAACAGACTTTAAAAAGGGTCCATGTTAAAAAATAAAGATAAAAAGGAAGGTACCACTTTCTGAGGTGGGAAGAGAGGAAATATTTCTTCATTGGGCGGAAGTAGAATGTCCCTCACTTTTACTCCAGACTCTCTTCAGTCCCACTCATTTCCTTGAAGGGAAACAGTTTTGCAACCTGTAGTTCTCTAGTGAAGACAGTGTCTAAGTGCCGATTCGAACAGGGCTGCCCGAAGGCGTGCATCTGATCTTCATGAAACATGACTTGGCTTTCACAAGTTTGCAGGCTTCTCAATTCCAAGCCAGCTGACGTCTTTCAGAGGAGAAAAAGGCCCTCCCACTTGCGTTAGTTAATTGACTCTGATGGACTCCTCTGGCTGCCTAAGTGGTTCTGGAACAGAGAGCACTGTTGTAATCTGAGGAACTTTCGAAAGTCACCCTGGCCAAGACAGCACACCCCCCAAGCCAGCGAGGAAAAAGGAAAGCTGTTGCAATGCTGGTCAGCAAAACAAGACTTGGCTGCCCGGAGCTCTGTTACTGAGTTCTTGCTCCTGTGAAGGCCTCTGGAGAGCTGGGCCCACTTGGAGCTGGGCTGCTATGTTTGACAGACGCCTCATGTCTCCTCAAACTAAGTGCCTTCTTTCTGGGGTAAGCTTGTGGGCAGGGAGGCAGGCCAGATGCACGGTGTGGTTGCAGGAAAACAGGGATGTACCGCCTTGTGGAGGAACTCAAGCAAAAATCACTCGGTGGCTTTACTTTTTCAAAGCTTTTCTTATCTAGCCAGAAATGTTGGCATTCACGGTGTGACTACATCAGTGTCCGTGGAGTGGAAGCCAGTAAGACTGGAATTTGGTTGTAAAGAGTGTATCTTAGTGAGATCGATTTAGTATCTGGGGAAAGAGTGAGAGGGAGGCGGAGAAATTTGGTGGAAAATGAAAATGCTTTTTCCAGCTGTAGGCAGTCACTTGTCGCTTCAGGGACAGCTCAGCCACTGAGCTGTTTCTGAGGCTTTTCTATGTAAATCAGAATAATGTGACATCCTATGTGGTTGCAATTTAAGATTTGATTGCCGTTTGTCACATTAAAAGTTTTTTTTTAATTTAATGAAGTTCAAAAATGAGAGTCTAATGTTTAAAATATTTAAGCAGAGAGCTTTACCTCACAAGGATGTGATGTTTGGGTCTTTGGGTTTAGTTTAGAACCTTTAAAGTAAAGAGCATATTATTACTAGTCCCCTTCCTGGGAAGGCTTTGGGAAAATAAGTAAATAATTCTAGAACCCAAATGTGATTTGTATCATGTAAAATTCATAAGGTTACAGATATCTGTGCAATAGGTCACGAAAATATCATTGTAGAATCAATGAAGTACAGTTTGTCGAAAAATTCTTTCCAGGTTACCACTTTGGTTTCTAATTGTGCCAACCTGTGCTATATTTAATTTCACAGAGGGAAAAAAAAATACTTGCAAAGAAATACCTGTAGTTTGGAAATCATTTGTTTTGGGTTGGAGCATACAGAAGTGTGGCACAGTAAGATGCTTTGCTTAACCTACTGGATTTCAGTGATCTTTTATTATGCTTCATTTTATTTTTTAAAATTTATTTTAGTGACATATAGCTGATTTGCAGTGTTATGTTAATTTCTGCTTTAGAGCTAAGCCAGTTGTACACACACACACACACACACACACACAGAGTTATATATATACACACACACAGACACATTCTTTTTCATATGCTTTTCCATTATGGTTTATCACAGGATGCTGAATATAGTTCCCTCTGCTGTACAGTAGGACCTTGTTGTTTATCCATTATATACATATTGTCAAGTCGCTTCAGTTGTGTACAACTCTGTGTGACCCCATAGACAGCAGCCCACCAGGCTCTGCCGTCCCTGGGATTCTCCAGGCAAGAACACTGGAGTGGGTTGCCGTTTCCTTCTCCAGTGCATGAAAGTGAAAAGGGAAAGTGAAGTCTCTCAGTCGTGTCTGACTCCTAGCGACCCCATGGACTGCAGCCTACCAGGCTCCTCCATCCATGGGATTTTCCAGGCAAGAGTACTGGAGTGGGTTGCCATTGCCTTCTCCTTATATACTTATATGTATATATAAAATGTATTTCACTTGAAATTTTCCAGAGACACAGTTTTCCTTGCTTGTGTTGGCTCTCATTAAACTTTGTACACTTCAGTTATATTTCTTAAGCTCTGACATGGCTGGCAATGTATACACTAATTATAAAGGATTTCTAGGTGTTGGATACTTCACATGTTTTTGAGTTTTTCAAGTGCCACCCACGTTTAATTCAGATTGTTCAATACCTGTTTGTTTTGAAAGACATCTGGAATCTTCATTTTCCATAAACTTGCCTGCTTTTTAAGAACATCATCAGACACTCAAAGCTGCTAAAGTAGTAGTTTCTGCTGAGGAATTCTGTTATAAATTCAAAAAATTATAATCTATAACCCAAATTGCCAAGCATCAAAACTGCCAAATCTATTCCACTGATCATTTTGAATATTTTCATCCATGAAATTGGGTGAAAAAAATATTATAGTTTTTAAAATTGGAATGTCAGTCTATGTGATGCTAGAATAATTACTTGAATAATTTATCTGTTAGTTAATTTCATCTCAGTCTTGAAGTCTTATGGAGAATCTGCACAAGCATGTTTACCGTTTTAAGATTCCTCCTCTCAAAAAAAAAAAAAAGATGCCTCCTCTCTCCCAATCCTAGAGTTTTATTTCCTAATGCCTAGTCACTCCTCATTTTAACTAACACTTGTGTTTGAATAGGGCTGATAAATACATGGATTTTTGTTTTAATGGTTAAAGATTTAAAATAAATCTTTACAAAGACTTCAGAGGATCAAGAGGTATTAACTTCCAGTTATAAAATAAATAAGTCACAGGGATCTAATAGCACAGGGCATTTAGTCAATATTTTATAACTTTGTATGGTGTGTAATATATAAATATATTGAATCACTGTGTTGTACATCTGAAACTAGCATAGTATTTTAAGTCAACTATACTTGAATAAGATCTTCCCAGGTGGCTCAGTGGTAAAGAATCTGCCTACCAAAGCAGAAGACGTGGATTTGATCACTGGGTCAGTAGGGTCCCCTGGAGAAGGAAATGGCAACCCACTCCATTATTCTTGCCTGGGAAATCCCATGGACAGAGGAGCCTGGTGGGCTACAGTCCATGGGGTTACAAAGAGTTGGACATGACTTAGGGACTAAACAAAACTTGAATGAATAAAGACTTTATTCTGTTCCCATTTAACACTTTCATCTAGTCATTCCCAAAGTTCCCCAATGACAGAAACTTCTCTTTCAATTCATACAATAAAATAAATAGGAGAGGACTTTTAAATATATATATGTATATGTATTATAGAGTAATTTTTTAGGATGTTGAATAAGCTCTGTGGCCTTTATTTTTGTTCTAATCAAGTATGATTTCAGTTTTTATATCACTTATACATTCTGAAGTCACTGCAAACCCTAAATGCATAAAAAAGCACATTTGGAAATTATACATTTAATACTCACCTTGCATTAAAATAAAATGAGTAAACCAATGCAGTTTGGTAGAGGTAACTTTCTCATTGCCAAGGGCAAAAAATATGCCTCTTACTAGTATTAAGTATTCTTTTTATCTCTTTATGAATTCTGATATTATTGCATTGTCAGTTTCTTTAACATAATATCCTTTGTGACAGCAACATGTGCCATTATTTTTAGACCAAGATAGTCACTCCCTCTGTCTCCTTTCCTTCCTCCAAATAAAAATGATCTCTCCGATTTGTACAGGTCTTTACATTTATTTAGTTCTGTTACCCGTGATTTCAATTTTATCTGACTGTGATGAAGAGCAAGTGTTTGGAACTCTGCTCAATACTCTGTAATGACATACATGAGAAAAGAATCTAAAAAAGAGTGGGGATATATATATGTATAAATTATTCACTTTAATGTACACCTGAAACTAATATAACATTGTTCATCAACTCAGCTCCATTGTAACATAAAAATAAATTTAGAAGGATTAAAATGAAAAAGATGTATACATCAATGTATATAAATGTTTGTATACAGTGAGACCTGACTTTGGGTACTATAGTATCCCCTTAATAACTCTGTGATGTGGCAAGCTTTTTTTATCTTCTCTGAGCCTTGGTTTCATTATCTTTAAAAAAAAATAATAGGTATAAAAATATCTGTGTTTCTAGATATTTGTAAGATTTTTTTTTTTAATCCCAGGACATACAGACTGTTTAGCATAGCACCTACTCTTATTAAGGTAATGCACATACTCACCTACATTTTCTTCAGTGGCTAATAATAAAAGAATTTACCTCTGAGATCCCAAACTATGATATCAGGAGAGTCAGCAAGGGAAAGTTATGAGTTGTTTCTTGTTTGCATATTAGAAGAAAGATAGAAAGATTAAAGTAAATAACAACCCTGTGAAATGAGACTCTTAAGTGGATCCAGTACCAGGGAGCTAAGAGGCTAAGTATAAACCCTCCCAAACTACATGCATATATTTGAGTCTATGTATAATATATATCAACATCTCCTAGCATTGGAAGATTCTCCAAGTGACGCTCAACTTCCAAATGGTTCAATAACCAGAGCTCCTGCATGGAAATAAGCCTATGAGAGTAAAAATATATATTGGAGGATAAATATTCTAAGAAGTCTCATAATTTTTGAACTTTTACTCTATCTTTTTATTTACCTTTATACTGTTAAGCACTTTTGAGGAGGGAAAGGAGCCCTTGTATTCCCATATATTATAAAACTAACAGTGATCTAAGGGTACAGATTTCTGCACCATTTTTCAGATATAATTTGTATTTAAATGGATATATAATGTCAGAAAGTCTTGGAGGCTAGTATTTGTAAGGATTCTTTAAAGCAGCAGTCCTCAGAGACTGCTGAAGGAAACCAGGGACTGGTTTCATGGAAGAGAATTTTTTCGTGGACTTTGGGGGAAGAGGATGCGATGGTTTGGGGTTGATTCTCATAAGGAGCATGCAACCTAGGTCCCTCACATGCACAGTTCACATTAGAGTTTGAGCTCCTATGAGAATCTAATATTCTTGAAGAGATCTCTAGTCTTTCCCATTCTATTGTTTTCGTATTTCTTTGCATTGCACTGATTTGTTGCACTGATCTGATAGGAGGCAGAGCTCAGGAGGTAATGTGAGCGATGGGGAGCTTTGTAAATAGTGAGGAGTTTCACTCACTTGTCTGCTGCCCATCTCCTGCTGTGTAGCCTGGTTCTTAACAGGCAAGTACCAGTCCCTGGCCTGGGGTTGGGTCACCTAGAGATGCCAGGATGTTTGATCACATCTTACCCCCATAAGACAATGTGTGAAAATAAAATTTTCTGCAATCCTAAAGAGATTTGCCACATTACTTTTATTGTTAAAACTGAAAACCCTTGCAAGAGAGCTTTCCATGTCAAAGTAATTAAAAGTTATTAGAATTTAAAAGTAGAAGAAATATTAAAGGAAATGTGCAGAGGAACACACCAAAATGTCACTGCTTTGGATCAGGTAATTTTCTTCTGGCAAATCACATCCCATTCCTTTTCCACAGACGTACATACATTTTAGTTGGAAATGGCAACC